TTGTGTTCACTGAGCTACTTGTTCTGTTGTTTTTCTACATTGTAGTTTTGGTTGCTGTGCTTGAGTTGTTGTTACAGGGACCCAGTTTTCAGACCGGGGCGAGTCATCTTCTAAAAACAAACTTATGTTGAGGTAGCTCCTTAAAAATAGACACTTATGTAGTGATTACAGTTGAAAACTTCTAGCAGCATTTTTTTTTAATACAGTTCTGAAACGTAGCCTGTACATCATATTCAGAATGATGCCCAGGTCTGAAAAACTAAAGCCCTTTAGACTTCTGTGACAACCTTCCTCACGGATTTCAGGGTGACCAGAGTTTTCTGGTTTACAATATACATTTTCCTGAGAGAAGATAACTACTGTTTCAGTTCTGGTATTTTAAACTATACTGTTAAAATTTCTTGTGCCTTTACAAACTATTTTGGTTAGCTTTATAAAAATGTCCTCCTTTTTCTGGTGTTTGTGCATTTCAAAATGTGCATTGTGATGAGCTTTTTTTCTCTCCTTCTTCCCTTTCTGAAACTGTATGACTTCATCCATGTACTTATATGCTGTGATTTATGTCAAAATTGGGGTTTATAGCTTCCTGCAGTTGTTATATTTTGCACTGCTCAAGTGGAGGAGCTCACCATGGTTCAACTATGGGAAAGGCAATGAAAGTCTGCTTAGGGTTGTTTCCTTCCTAAGGTGTTTTTGCCTTTAAAGGTAAAAATATATTTTGCCGTATGAAACCAAGGTAAGCAATCTGTGTTACGTATTTGTTGCATAAAGCCATTACTATGAGAGCAGCACTGTGTGAAGGATTTCTGCTCCCGGCCTGCAGTAGCTGCAGGTATTCCCTGGAGCAGGTATCCAGGTTACCATCCTCCCAGAGCCCTAGGAGCACGGGTGGGAGGCAGCAGCATGTGTCCTCCTCTGATGAGCAAAATAATCCCTCGCTGCAGTTACAATAAATCTGAAAGTAAACATTTAACAAATCCCTCTCGGCCTTTTAACAAGAATTAATACTTTTAATCTCAGGTTTATCATCAAGGTTGCACAATATAAGCCCCCCTGTCAAATTGTGTTTTATGTTAAACATTTAGAACAAATGAGACTGGTGAGAGAGGGAGGCAATGCAGCTATTTCTGGGTTTTCATTATAGGATTATGAAGATTTGTTTCTTGGAAGCATTTTTAAAAAATTATTTTCAGTGACAGATTGCAAACTTACTTTCCTTCCTCTGATTTTTTTTTTTATGCATTTTAGTTTCCATACCAATCCATCAATACACAGACAAAACTGAAATAATGATTCAGAGGATGCCTTGTAGTATGCCTAGCTTATTGCAAAAACTTATTACTCATTACCAACCAGAATGCAGAAATTCAGCCAGAGATATGCAGCTGTTTTGGTCTTAAGAGCAGAATTCATGCTATTTAACACAAGCACTTTAGAGGTAGATGAATTGTGCATTTATTTAGTAGTATTTTGGAGAAAAATTTCCAATATTTCAGATATGCTTTCAAGACATATGAGGAGCACAATTTGGAAGAAAGCCAGTCAGAGTACATTAGCACCCAGGTGGTGATGGTGTTACTGTTGTTATGGGATGTGTTTGATTAAGAAGTGAAAAAACATGGTTGTGCATTCAGCCATTCCCAAAGCATATACATATAGGTAGGCAAAGACCGACTGCAGCATATCTTTTGAAATATCATTGTGCTGAGCAATAGAATTTTGAATAAAAACTTCAAATAGTTTCCACACTCTGCAAACTGTGTACTTTTTAAATTTTGATCCTGTAAGCTGATGATCAGCAGGCAACATAGTGTAGCAGGCTACTTCTCAAGATTGCACTGCTAAGGGAGAGCATCTTCTTTCTTGAAGTTAATGGTTGTTATATACTTCCCGATATTCGCTGTCTACCCCTACAGCAGACTGCTTTCATGTACAAGTTCAGGAGAGAGATTTATGTTGATACTGGAAGCCTGTTATTTCAGCAAGCCTTCATCCATAGTGTGAGTGTCTCAACATGAGTCAACAAGATTCTATGGATACTCAAAATATTTTGAAACCATATGAACAGAATGTGTATTTTCCTCTGGCTAGTAAAACTCAGTCATAAAGTCTTCATAGACTTACAATATGCAGAATCCAACCAACTTGGCAAATAAATTGTTTGTTAAAGCATATTCTGGCTGTATCTCCAAACTGTGTTTAGACAAAATAGCATTTTGTTCATGCCAGGTATTGGACTGGCCGCTGGAGACTCAGGTTTTCTATTCAAGCAGGTTGGAGCAGATTTTTGACTTGACCAGTGACCTTCCTAGAGAAGAATGTTAGTACAAAATTTGTCCTTTATACAAATTTTATGGGATGAGGAGAGAGGAATTTTATATTGCCTGTTAGTAGAATATGATGTCCTGACTTAACAAAAAAACCAAAAAATCAATTCACATACTGATTGCTTTTGGAAAGAATTTGTGATTTAGTGGAAGAGAAATAATCTGAGGACTATTACTTGCTTAATGGGATTATTCCAGGTTCCTCAGATACCGATCATGAGGCTAGATATTAAAACGTTAGATAGAATGACTTTCAGAGAAGAGAACTTGATCTGTAGATGTGTACCAGGGTTTGTGAGGGCCTTTTTTCAGTGACGTTTGCTTGAATCCAGATTAGATACAGGAATTATTTCCATCTTAATAATGATGTGAAAAGGTTACGTTATGGCTAATTTGCCAGTAGTTAGTTATGCTTCTGTACTGTACATAAGAAGCATCTAAATTAGTCGCTCTTATCATTTAGTGTTGTCTTTATCTTCTCAGATGGATCACTGATTCTGCTGTATGCTTTGTACCATGTAGCAATTCATTTGTTGTGCTGAACTGTTCTTTGTTTCTAGTTTATGCTTATACTTTTGTCCTTTATACATCTGCTTTCATATGTAATGCTTATTTTTGTTCTTGTTATTTTTGTATTCTGGTACCTCTTCATTATTCTCTCCCATATCTTCCTTCTTTCTCTCTGTCCCAGTTTTTGGCATCTATAGTATTCATCAGAGATTTCTACCTAGCATCATATGACAGGTTCTTCTGTAGGAGTTTATAGGAGACATGCTGGGAAGAGATTTCATTTGTTCTCCCTTTGCAACTGTGCTTGTGTCTAAAATTGTGTTAAAATGTAATAGGAATGCAAAGGAAGACTCTTTGGTGCCTCTGAATGTTGCCTGTGCCTAAACCTGCCCCATTATTAATCTGATTAAACTTTTGCAAATTGGAAGTAGACAAGAATGCAATGAGTTTCAGAGTCTTTTACTGGACAGTAATTGTGAACATTAGATATGAAGTGTAGTTAATTTAGCTGAGTGAATGTCATTGACTGCAAGAAAGTTGCACAAAATTACCAGCACCAGAGTTTAGTTTTACATTTTGGCTCCACATTATGCACTTAAATAAACAGCCACATATAAACAACTAATAAAGTGAAATACAGAAAAGAAATAACTTTCTATCCCAAAGGCTCCAAAGATTATTAAGTTAATGGCTACATTTTTATTCTGATTTTGTAGAAGACCATGTTCAGTCAGGGAGTATAATTCTAAATCTTAGTTTTATTACAGTTTTTAACATCTGATTATTTGTAGCACTATTTTGTTTTTATCATCCGTGTTTGGTTTCAATAGACATGTTCTAGTCAGACTAAAGCAATGTACTGAGGATGAATTACACTGGTGCCTAACCAGAGCAATCTGAAGGAATACCTGACTTTTTTCTAAATATTTTAATATAATTGTAAACATATAAAACCACCTTGATTGTATGTTTTCTGTATAAATAGCTGTCCCAGAATTGTTAGATCATGTTAAAATACCTGAAAAGTACCAAATAATACGCAACATCAAAAAGAAGAGGTGCCACTTACTAATATATACTGGGTATACACTAAAATGTCTGCAAGGTTTTACATTTTATTCTGTTGGTACAAAATATGGGAATTTATTTTTGTCAATCCGTGTAATAGTTAGGAGATGAAAGTCCAGCTCATGAATGTGTAGCACTGTTACGGCAATCAGCTGTCAGTCACTCTTCCTGATTGCTACTGATGTGAATCTAATTGATTCTTATAGAAAAGAATACTGTTTTGGGAAGCACCTGGAAAACAGGATTTAATGAGGTATGTAATGTTTATTTCTATTATAATGCTGGGATTTTATTTCTTAAAAGTGTGCAGTTCGTGCGGCTACTGAAGGCAGAATCCTCGTGCTGGAAGGTTTGGAGAAGGCTGAGCGGAATGTCCTGCCAGTGTTAAACAATTTGCTGGAGAATAGGGAAATGCAGCTTGAAGATGGTCGTTTTCTCATGTCTGCAGAGCGTTACGACAAACTTCTGCAGGTATGGAAATGCTGTTTGGTTTTTCCATTTTTGTTTTCCTTGATAGTGCTGAAATACCATTATGAAGGGGAGATGTATGCATGAGCCAAATGGGGCAAATCTCAGCAAGGTGGTTTTTCTGGGATGTTCTGTGGGATGAAATAGGCAGGGTGAAAATGATGTGAGAAGTCAAACTACTGCTTGCAACAACAAAACAAGCAACAACATTTCATCAGTATGTTGTCTGTCCACGTGAAAAAGAGTAGTCCATGTTAACCTTATATGAAGCCTGTATGTCTCTAAAATGTGAAAGCCACAATGTGAGAGTAACCAAAATGTACTTGTGAAAAGAGATTTAAGTTGAAGTTGTTCCCATGAAGTTCAGATAATGCTTCAACACTGCAATAGCGTTGTGCTAAACTCCTAAAATGTTAGGATACCAAAAAAATGAGGTCAAGATGAGCGATACATCAGTGCTGTCTTGCCTTTAATTTATGAAAATGTGTGTAAACAGCCAATCTAAATTACAGGAGATGGTCAGAGAATTTTCATTTGATACGAAATGGGATTTTAGTGTCTGCTGCCATTGCTGCTTTCCTTTTTTGGGGGGCTTTGAGCCCTACTGCTTAAATTTGAGTGAATACCTTTCAGGTTTTTGGGGACCTCAGTAAATTTCATCAGACAGTTTCCATTAGTACTCCACATCTTACTTTCATGTACTGTAGTTCCCAGTTGCATACCTGTCAGTCTCCCATAACAGTCTGACCCCTGCTCACTCATGTTTCTGTCTGTCATACCTAACTGTGGTTAGGTGTGTAATTCAGACCCATGTGGCACAGGAAGGAAATTTGTAATAAGCCTTCTGTCATTGATCCTGATTTGTATGAAGTTGCCAACTATGCTGAAGTACTGTAGTGGATTTCTGAGAATATATCATTATTTCTTATGCCTCTTATCTGTGGTTACAATTCTTCTGATCCATGCCTTTTCCAAAAACATTTTTATAATATTTAATTAGTAGATACAGTTGTTGGAAAAGTAAGCTTTTAAAATGTAATTATATTTAAAGACTGAAAAAGAGAATTCAAACTTAGATAGGCTTTGGTTGCAATTATGCAAAGCATCTGCCTCTTCTTTTTTCCTTTTTAACACTTTCCTAATGATAAAACATTTCGAAATGAGTGCCTCAGGCACACTGCTAATAGTATATGAATTAAATAAATCTCTTGCTACAATACTAAATCTAATATTGTTGTTTTATTGTGTGGGGAATTGCATTATATAAGCTACTGTTCATTTTCTCTTCTCCTGTGTAAATAATTACTGTACACCTAGGTCTGGAGGAAATGTACTCATGGTTTCAAGGAAGACTTAACTGTGATGTGGGAAGACTAAGGAGTACATTTTCTGTGTGCAGTGAATCTCTTACATGACAACAACTGAAATACAACTTTTAATGTCCTCATGAAGGAGTCTAGTTCTGCATTATTGCTTATAATAGAGCATAATTTGTAAGTGAAACTTTTGAAATGCAGATTTTAGTCTCCTTTACAGTTACAAGAGGAGGGGAAAAAAGAATGAAAAAGCCTTGCTCATGGTAACCCACTTCTAATGTTTAGAGTAAAATAAATTTTGTGGTCTGTTTATTTTCTATTCCATGTGAAAACAATGTTATAATGAGGGGTCTTCGGTCAAATTGCTACAGGCCTGAAAGCTGCACCTAATCAAGCATTCTATCTACTTTCATTTTGGAAAAGCTTGCTTTTACCATTCACAGATTTGACTAGTGCAGAGCTTTGTAGCCCCTCTGAATGAACGATGAGAATATTACCGCATTTAGGCTGAAGGACCAGGGCTGTTAGTCAATCAGCAGGTTAGTCATCATAAATTTTTGATGTTGTAATATTTGGGTTTTTTGTTTGTTTTTTTTTTTCTTGTTGCTTTATTTTAATTAATTTAGGATCATACAAAATCAGAGTTAGATTCATGGAAGATTGTTCGGGTTAGTGAAGATTTTCGAGTTATAGCGTTGGGCCTGCCAGTACCTAAATACTCTGGTAACCCTTTGGATCCACCCCTTCGCTCTCGATTTCAAGCTAGAGATGTTTATCATCTGCCCTTTAAGGTAAGTGTCTTACAGAAGAGTTGGATTATCTGTACCGAGTACAGCTAATATTTTGACGTTACGTTTTACTTACCTCACCTCTGAAAAGAATCGCTGGGGAATAAATTTATCTTAAAGGGTATTTTTCATACTGGGGCCTAATAAATTCCTGAAAAGCAGGCTTAGCGTTGCCAAGGAATCCTGCAGCAGAAAAATAACTTACGTAAAAGAAAGATTTGATAATCTTTCTTCTTTTTAAATAGAATTAATTCTGTGTCAAGGAGCGAGTAGACTCCTCATGTCTAGAGAGGAAAAATAGAAAATGCCTCGTATATCATGAGCTGTGACCCACAGTATGATCCCGAAATTAATTTACTCTGTGATTTTATGTTCTATTTTCAGGACCATCTTCAGCTATTATATTCAATTGGATCAAACATTTCCACAGAGAGGTAATTTTTCGTAATTAAAAAAAAAAAGAAAAATGGAATGAATGAAGAAAAGCAATGTCCTTTCAGGATTCCTTGCTATTTTTGTGTCTTCTATCACTGCATGGAGACCAGAACTGAAGAAGTTTTTTAATATGTGTAGGTGTATGCTCACACAGCTTTTCGTATGCAGCCTTCATATAATGAATCTTAATGCTTTAGAACTTCAATCACACCTTACTTATTTGCACTCAGAAATGGTTTCAGCATCTTATACTGTATTTAAGTTTTTACGCTTTAGTATTTTAAATATAGATAGCATGTATAAAACTCTGTAATTACTTTTTCCTATGCAGAATTTCTCAGCTCCTGTCTTTTGCTACAACTCTCTGCTCTCAAGAATCTTCTACACTGGGACTTCCAGATTTTCCTTTAGACAGCTTATCGGCTGCAGTTCAGATTTTGGTATGTGCGTACACATGTGCTGTGAAACTATATGCGCTTAAAATTTCTCAAAATTAGATCTGGATTATTTGTGTTGTTAGAAGAAGACTAACATGAACATTTAAAAAATAAACCCGAAAAAACTAGGGATGGTTTGAGGGAGAAAAGCCCCAGTCAGATATCTCTGGATAATACTTTAACCAAGTATATAGCGCAAGACTGAAGGACGAAGTATGGCGTGACACAAGATTTGTGATATGATTAAATGTATCTTAGTGCTCAAAATAATGGTTTATGTTCTGCTAAATTGTCTCACCTGACTTCAGGGGCCAGATGTCACAGTTTACCTGATGACACTGAGGTAGTCAGTGGAGAGAAATAAATGTCACAAGCTAAAAGTGCTTCTGATTTAATGGTATGCATGTAAATCAGATTGATTGCGTTACAGAGACACCTATTACTCTCCATTGACCCAAAACAACTATTCAAATGTGGGTATAGGAGAAAGTTAAGTTGTATGAGATGAAGCCTACATTAGGTCTTTGGGTTGGCTGGTGGATTTAGAATAAACATAGACATAGAGGGTTATCTGCAGGTGCAGGTTGTGCACACCTGAAGATGCAATACTTTCTGACAGCTACAGTCTGTAGGGAA